AATAGTGTATGGAAACCGAGGGAGAAGAAAGTTTCAAGGAGACGAAAGTTGTCAGTGTCAAAAGCTATAGTCTCATCCATGTCTCATTCAAAAACCACTTGTACCCCTAAATCCACTGAAATAATAAAATAGAAAAACAAAGCTATAGTGAATTCAGTTAGTTAAGAACTGAAAAGTATCCACTGGATTCAGCAAATAGAAGTTATTGGTGAGAGCAAATGCTAGATTATACTATATTCAGGAGTAAAATGCAAGGAGAAGAATTAGGGAAGCAAATGTAGACTATTTTTAAAGAGGTTTGGCTATAAAAAGAGAAATTGGGAATTAAAGAGGGATAATAGGGTAGAAAGAGAGAATGAAGCGCAGGTATGAGTTAAAAGAAAGATCCACCAGACAAGAGAGAATAAAGACGGAAGAGAGAGAGGAGGCAGGTAGGGCTGCACTTCAGAGCACAGGCTTCCAGAAAAAGGATTCTCCTTCCTTTGAAGTAAAGGAGGAGGAAGGATGGTGCCCAATAGAGACAGATGTAATGGTGAAAGGTAAGTCTGGCAGAGCTCTCTGATTCCCTTTCCATATATTCACTCAATGCCTGGTGGTACTGATCAAGCAAACTGTCCAATCCATACCTCCCTCATTTCTTGATGGGTCATTCTCTTATTGGCTTTCTTGCTTTCAGTACCTTCCCTGTCTTGGTCAACGGTGGTGGGCTGAAACTCTTTACATACCTTGATAGGTCCTGGTTACTTTCATCAGTCCTGTTCCTCTGATCCCACGACTTTTTCACTTCCCTGTAACTATTTGCTGCCTAGGGTCCCCAGACAGACGAAGTAGTGTGTGAGCATGAAAGATACTGGACGAATTCTGAGAAAAGAGCATTCTTAACAAATCTCCTCTCATCCCATACTACTATGGATAGTGGTCTGCACTATCCATAAAACTCTTATCTGAATGTGGTCCTGCTTGTTCTCCCGTTATTTAAGATCACTATTCTCTGTCTCATCAATAACAGGTCTTCATTAAATGTCTAGGCACTAAGTTGGTTGCCAAAGTTTTCTCATCTTAACAGAAAGACAGAGAATACATATGTGTTTTATATATAGAGAGAGGGTGTATATATACACCTTATATATGTAAATATATATATGCATATATACACATAGACATACATAATAAATTAGAGCAATACTACAAGGTAGCACAAACTGCAAAGTGGACGATACAAGCAAAAGAACTATTAGGCTCAAACCTGGAGCCTTGAAATTACAGGGAAAGTTTCAAGGAGGCAGTGTGAAGCAGGCCTAACATAGAAGGAAGGGTAGGTTTAAATAATAAAGGTAGGGGAATGTTGCAAATTGGCAAAGACCAAAAAATGTGCTTGATAATGTTTAGGGAACAACCAAAAAGCTGGTTTTAAGAATCCCCTAAGGAAGCCAGACATTATCCTACAGAGATGGGGAGCTACTGAAGGTTTTAGAATGAAGACTGACTTATACCACGTTTTTACAATTGATTTGGAAGAACTGTATAGACCAATTGAAAAAAAAGGCAGGAATAATTTAAAGACTATTGTGATACTTGAGAGTAATAAAGTCCTATACTATTAATACTGTAAAAATTCTTTGCAGTAAGGTATTGGCAGTGGGGATGGAAAGAAATTGGTGCCTGCCTGGATATGGAAAAAGGGAAAGGAGGCCAAGAGTACTATAAAGTTTCAAGTTGGAGAGAAGGAGAATGATGATACTCTGGAGAGAATGAAATAGGAAAAATCAGACGGCACAGTTTAGTGAGCAAAGAAGTTCAATGAAGTTTAAGATATGTGGGGCTTAAGGTGAGGGAAACACACTTGGGTGCAGATTTATAATAAATAGTTGCGACAAAATTCAGGGGAGAGGTCAGTACTGGAAGTGTGGGTCTAGAAATTATCTGCCCAAGAGGAAATGTAGAGGGAAAAGGTAGGGGATAAGATGGAGGAAGCAGAGCTAGCAAGGAAGGATGTGTAAGAAGCAGCCCAAGAGATTAGAATGCTTGACTTGCAGAGGATTTCACAAGTCAAGGAGGAAGCAAGTTTTAAGGATAAAGAATTATAAAACAATGGTTAACACTAAAGAGATTGTGTATTGAAAAAAGCCCAGCAATATGGTCACTCAAGATCTACGAGAATGTCAACAGGAAAGAAGGGAGGAATAACTGTGTGGTGATGATGATGAAAGCAGAGAGTGAGAGTACTCTTTTAAAAAATGTAGTGGTAGGCTGGGTGCAGTGGCTTATGCCTGTAATTCCAGCACTTCAGGAGGCCAAGGAGGGAGGACAGCTTGAGCCCAGGAGTTTCAGACCAGCCTGGGCAACACAGTGAGACTCTCTGTACAAAAAATAAAAATGAAATAAAAAACATGAATTCAAGCTTACAGTGAGCTATGATGGGGCCACTGAATTCCATCCTGGGCAGCAGAGCAAGACCCCATCTGTTTAAGAAAAGAAAAGAAAAGAAGAAATGTAGTGGTAAGAGCCACCAAAGTTAGTAAGTTGAAAGGGAGCTGGGTCAAGGGAGGATTTGTTTCTCTTTTCAGGATTTGATCATAATTCTTAGCAGAAAGAACATGTTAGTAAAGGACTGACTGAAAGCACTGGAGGAACAAGGTTTTGAGGAGGTAGGAGAGGTTGGGATAAAAAACAAAGGTCTTGAGGGACTAACCTTGGAATTGAAGAAAGGCAATCAGGAAAGGTATAAGAAGAGGTCTGAAGAATCACAAATTTTTAAGTAGAAAGGTGAGAGAGTTCTTGAGACAGCCTTGTTTTTCTCACTTAATGGAAGGCAGTTAGCTGCTGAGTGTGTGAAGGATTTGATGCTTAAGAAAGCTGAGAAAGGAAGGGTAGAGGTGGCTGCAGTAGAAATGATAGACATGGCATCATAAGACTGTGTTCAAGTCTCAGATATGTTAACTTGAGCTGGCCACCCCTCTCAGGCTGTCTCTTCACAAAATTATTAGAAGATTAAATGAGATAATGCACATGTAAATTATAAAGCACTTCTTAAACAAGATGGAACACCTACCACACGAAATGTGATACATCATGAATAAAGGATGAAGCAAAGCATAGCCCAGCATCAGGGAGGGTAAACATGAAGTTCAAAGTAAGCATATATAGCAAACCAAAGTCCACACGGTTTTTGTGACTAACTCCACTAGCAGAGAATGCACATTCTGAATGAGAGTAGATGCCAGAAGAACAAGAGGCTGAAAAAAAAATCTAGGTAAGGACTATTTTAAGACCTTTGTAGGCATGCTTTCATTTGGAAACTGCATGTGTAATTTTTATATAAAAGTGGCATTTGACTCATTGACATGTTATATTTTAGAAATGGCCAAACACTTCAATTTTTATATTTTAGTTTCCTTTTCATATTTTGGAGCCATCTCTTTTCTCAGATATTTTTTAAAAGCTTAGGCTCCAGGCACTATGCCTGAACCGTGAAACGGATAACGAAGGCATCAAGGAAACGGCTGCCCACGGGGTCCAAATTAAGTAGGGAAGGTCATGAACGAAGAAAGCAGTGGGCCAGTCTGGCAAACTACACAGGCTTAAGAGACTGGAGGCAGTGAGAACAGGTGGAGGGTAAGGAACCAGCATGTTACCATTTTTGGAATTTTGGAGATCTAGGTCCCAGATCTCAGGTGTAACAAGCCACCCTATGGCCGAAACAGGAGACTCCTGGTGAGGACACTTAAAGAAGGAGACGAGGAAATTAAAAAGTTAAGGGTGCCAGATGTGTTCACCTTGCCAATCCGCTTGTGAGCTCACAAAGGGCTTGTCCCTCACTGACGTCCTCCACTGTCCCATTGTGACAGTTGGGAGCCCTCCTTTCCTGATATAAACAGAGGGCGAAACATGCTCTGCTCATTTGTTACACATAACTGTAGAATTCTGGGTGACACCTATTTAACTCCTTAAGTCATCTGCACTCTCCCGGAAGGCTGAAACGAGGGCTTTCCCAGCCCCCGGAATTGAGAGTCAAGCTCCCCGGCGGTGGCCGCATGAAACCCTCAATTCTAGACCTCGGTTCAGTGGTCTCCCTAACTGGTCCTTAGAACCGGAGCCTGAGGCGTCCTTACCCCGGAAAATATCAGGAGATAGCGAGCCGCGGTAGTTCTCGCAACCGGTACGTTAGGCCTGAGGGATTTGGGAACTAAAATAAGCTCCGGAGGCCAAGGAGGGAAATTCGCAGACACACACGGGCGTCGAAGAGAAACGTCTATCGCCCGGGAGCGCCAGAGACCGCCGGGACCAGCAAAATGCCTCCTACAACTCCCAGCAAGCTCCGGGCTGAGGGCGCCGGGCCAGGCGACAGCCGCATCCACCAATGAGGGAGCCTAGTCTACGTTCGTGCGACCAATCCGAGGGCGGAAAGAAGGCCGCCCCTGTGGCACATTAGTGTGGCTTTAAGTGGTCCCTTTCTGGTCGCCACAAAGATAAAGACAGACACAGTACCCGTAAAATGGTGACGCTGGCTACACTATTCCGCCCACTCCCAGCCTTGCTCTTTTCCTCTCGCAGTGCTCCGAGCCCTCCGGCGACCCCGTCCCCGCGTGAGTGGACTGGAGAGGACGTGGAATTCCCAAAGCTTATTAGATGCTGATGTTGTCAATCGAGAGGGCGGCGGGGCCTGGAGCGGCAAGGGCCGCCCCTCTCGGATAGTGATTGGACTCGCCGAAGTAGACCCTAGCTGGGATTGGTGCGAGGAGAGGCGAGGTCCTTCTGGCTCCTGGGCCGAGAGCGGGGAGGCGGTGGCCACCGCAAACCCGGTGGGGCCTCGCAGCTCCCCTGCCCAGCGCGCGCCCTCTGTGGATGGAAGGAGCGGGAGGGCTCCCTACCTCATCGCCCGGGGCCAGGGGGGTGCTTGTCGCGTGTCGGACGCGGGAGAGTGGGGCGGGAGGGGGGTGGCAGTGGAGGATGTGGGAGGTGCAGGGGTCAAAGAGTTGGTGGCAGGACTAGCCCTTGGGGGGCAGAGGAGGGCGTGGCGTGTCTGGTATGGGATGCAGTGGGAAGGAGGGGGCGCTTCTGAGTAAATCCCGAGGTGGTTCCTTTGAGGAATCCTCTTCTTCCCGGTTGCCCTTTAATTTGCCAGCAAGAGAGTCCCCATGGTCTTTGTTCAAGTTCTGGAGACTTTCTCTTTGGGTGGGCTTAATCACCTGCTACTTCATTATAGAACTGCCCGCGACCTTTTCTGATACTGGGCACAAACGTGGGGAATATGTCAGAAAACAGGAAGCCGCTGCTGGGCTTCGTGAGCAAAGTCCCCAGTGGGACTGCACTTGGGAACTCAGGCAAGACTCACTGCCCTTTATGCATGGGGCTTTTCAAAGCCCCCAGGCTCTTGCCTTGTTTGCACACGGTTTGCACCACTTGTCTGGAGCAGCTGGAACCCTTCTCAGTAGTGGATATCCGAGGGGGAGACTCTGACACAAGCTCTGAGGGGTCAATATTCCAGGAACTCAAGCCACACAGTCTGCAGCCGCAGATCGGCATCCTCTGCCCAGTATGTGATGCTCAGGTGGACCTGCCCATGGGTGGAGTGAAGGCTTTAACCATAGACCACCTGGCCATGAATGATGTGATGCTGGAGAGTCTGCGTGGAGAAGGCCAGGGCCTGGTGTGTGACCTGTGCAGCGACAGGGAAGTAGAGAAGAGGTGTCAGACCTGCAAAGCCAATCTCTGCCACTTCTGCTGCCAGGCTCATAGGTAAAGATGGGATACCCCACCTGGTGTGGTTAAGAGCAGAGAACAAAGAGGTGTCAAGACAGAAATCCCTTGGTGAGCAGATGGAGAGGAAAGCCCTTTTCAAACACCACCAAAGGTCAAAGAGCAGTATATGATGCAACTGCAAATACTCTACAACAATAGTTAACCTGATTGGCCTAATACCTGTAGTAATAGCAGCGATTAATATTTGCATAGTCCTTTTCAGATTACAAAGTACATTCAGAGTTTGCTTCCATCATCAGTTATTTGTGTAGTGAATAATTTTACTTGCTACTGGAGCAACAGAGGAGTATGACTATAATGCCATAGATCCTGTTCTTGATCTCATTTGGTCATTGCAATTCTTTTAGAAAAGCAAGCACTGTTTTCACTCCTGTTTATTAATTGAGGAATCTGAAGCTCAGCAATAATTTACCAGGGTCCCACAATTGGTACGTGTGTTAACAGAACAGAGTATTAAATTCAGATCATCTGACTATATTCTGTGCTCTTTCTACTAACCCATGCTGCCTTCCTAGGACAGGTACTGATTGGACCTCACCTTAGTCTTTGCCTTGCACCCTGGAATTACTCTGGATCTTGGTGAGGTCAGCTGGTAGAAGGTAATTGGGGTGCAGATTATATCTTTTATGGCATTTGGTGAGTAGTTTGTCAGATGGATCACTCTTTGTCCCTTCTTATTCTCCCCTATGCCATTTCAGGACATCAGAATAGTAAATGACCATGGTTTTAGGATTAGCCTAAAATAGTTTTAGGTTCTGACTTCCATTTGTTTTATGGCCTCAGCAACAGAACAAGTTAGTAGTCTACAGTCTTTCTATTTTTAACTCATAATTATGTGATAGACCCTGTGACTGTCTTGCTGCCAGCTAAACAGCTGACCCTATTTTCTCTGCAACCGCTGTTCTGATGCCAGAATAGACATACAAGCTTCAAGTTGATATAATGCTAATGCGGGAACTCTGAACAGTCACCATAGTTTCCTAGGGATTTCCCTGAATCTCTAGAGCGCTACAGAAGAGGGGAATTAAAAAAGAGAGCTTTGATTCTACTGACCATTGATTTCACTCTTTCTAATAATGTTGATGACTCTGGAGGGAAATTCTAGCCTGCTGACTTGGGTGATGTAGATCCTGGTCAACGGAAATGCTTTACCAAATTCTTAGATGCAAGCTGGATGAGACTTTTTGTCAGTGCCAGCTAGCTGCTCTTTAATCGCTTAGAGTTTATTGCTATGCCATCTGGCCCAGTTTCTGTCTCTTGGTGCTGATTTTCCACTGTGCTCTCACCTCTATCTTGCCTTAGGAAGCAGGCTGTGGCTCTTGTATAAACTTGCCAGATTAACTCTTTGAGGAAAGTTCTAGCATGTAGTCTTAGTGTTGCAACCTTTTGCAAAGGCATGTGCCAGGCCAGAGCCCTAGTCTATTCTAATTCTGTTCTAAACAACAGCCCTTTCAGGTAAGTATTGTCCCCATTGTATAAATAAGGAACTGGAATCAGAGAGGATCATGCAATTAGAGGTTAGAGCACTTAATTGAACTCAGATTTGTTTAACTTCAGAGCCTCTGCTCCTAAAACCTCTCTGCTAAACTGTTTCCCAACCAGAATTATTCCCTTGTTTCCTGTTCCTGACTCTGTTTGCCCCTAGACGGCAGAGGAAAACAACTTACCATACAATGGTGGACCTAAAAGACTTGAAAGGCTACAGCCGGATTGGGAAGCCTATCTTGTGTCCTGCTCACCCAGCGGAGGAGCTGAGGCTGTTCTGTGAGCTCTGTGACCGGCCGGTGTGCCGCGACTGTGTGGTGGGGGAACATCGGGAGCACCCCTGCGACTTCACCAGCAATGTCATCCATAAGCATGGGGACTCTGTGCGCGAGCTCCTCAAAGGCACACAGCCCCATGTGGAGGCCCTGGAGGAAGCTCTGGATCAGATCAAAAGGATGAACAGCGCCCTCCAGGAGCGAGTAGAGGCAGTGGCAGCCAATGTCCGAACATTCTCAGAGGGCTACATCAAAGCTATTGAAGAACACAGGGACAAGCTGCTGAAGCAGCTGGGAGACATACGGGACCAGAAGGAGAACTCCCTGCAGCTGCAGAAGGCACAACTGGAACAGCTGCTGGCAGACATGCGCACTGGAGTGGAGTTCACTGAGCACTTGCTGACCAGCGGCTCAGACTTGGAGATCCTCATCACCAAGCGGGTGGTAGTAGAACGGCTCAGGAAGCTGAACAAAATCGAATATAGTGCCCGTCCTGGAGTAAACGATAAGATATGCTTCTCTCCCCAGGAGAAAGCAGGCCTGTGCCATGGCTATGAAGTTTATGGGACTATTAATACCAAAGAGGTTGATCCAGCCAAATGTGTCCTTCAAGGAGAAGGTAGGAAGACATTTGCATTGGCCTTGAGAGCGCAGTGGATAGGGACATGGTATTTAAAGGTTTGTGGCTTGTTCAGTTAGGAAGCACTCCCCTACTGACCAGTTTACCTGGGGCGGGGTGGGGGAAACATTCCGATCTAAAAGGCAGTGATCTTTTCCTTTCTGATTTGTTCTGGTCAGGGTACAGTTAATATTCAATTCAAGGGTGAGGCTTGACCCTTTTCCAGTTCAGAAAAGTAGCAACTACTGACATACTCAAGGATCATGCTTTGTTGCTATCAGATGACAGAACACAGACAGTGCCTATAGGAGATTAGCAATGACTAGAGTAGGGCAAAATCCTGCCTGCCCAGAGGAGCAAGCAGGCCCCGGATTGCTTGGATTAAGTTGTGAAGGGGGTTTCAGAGGAATGAGCAAGAGAAAATTACGGTTTCCTTTGTTCTGTGTTCTTTTTGGCTCACATAAACTGTATTGGCATTTAAAGGGCTACGGTAGGTGTTTCATTCAGTAGGGGGAAAAATGGTTTCTTTTGACCAGTATTCTGTTTCTAAAGGAAGCATGTTATTCAAACATATTTCACAGATAAATCCTGACAGGAAGATTGTATCCTAGAACCATCCTGACTGTGGCACAGGAATTCTTAACTGTTTGGAAGTCATAGATCCACTTAAGAATGTTCTCTCCCCCAGAAACACCCACTAACCTGGTCATACAATTTCAAGAGATTCTTAGACCTGTCATAAGCCTTTCTATAGACCTCATAAAAGTACATGAACCCCAGGTGAAGAAACCCTGTTTCACCTGAATTTTGGACTAGGGGCTGGGTAGCTACTGGATATTCCCCCCAACACCCTGGCATGAGCCACTAAGTTGCAGAGGATCTCACAACACAGAGAGTCTAAGCTGGTCAGCTATACCCCCTGCCTATTCTAGCAGGATCTGGAGCTTCTAGAGTGTAGTTTTGGGGTGACTAGCCTCTCTCACAGGATCTAGCGATTTTCTTCTCTGAATACCTAGGCCAATCCTTAGTATTTTCAAAGCTTCCTTAGGGCTGAAGTTAGGGTCCAGGATCCTGTGTGACCCAAGAGCAGCTGCTGGCTGAGAGAGAACCAGGTTCACCAGGAGGGATTCCCAAGAGTTATACTCTGGGAGGTAGGGGAAGAGCAAAGAATGGGAGCAGGGTGGTTACAATAAACAGGAAGCACAATCTTTTGTTCTGAAGAGAAAAAGCAAGGTGGTGTCTGATCGGAGCTGTAGTCACACAGTTTGCCTTTGAGGTGAAGATTACACGTTTATCTTTTGCAGATCTCCACAGAGCCCGGGAGAAACAGACCGCCTCTTTCACCCTGCTTTGTAAGGATGCCATGGGAGAGAGCATGGGCAGGGGAGGAGACAACATTCAAGTCGCTGTTGTCCCTAAAGATAAGAAAGACAGGTTTGTATGACACAATTAGGTGTTATGGGTAACAGAAAACTGGAAACAGTGAGGTCCTTTGAGAAATTGGAGATGTTAACTGCAGTGTTTCATCTTGCCTGTCTGTGGTGCTATGAAAAAATGTGATAGGACCAGTTGGACCAAATGTGTTTTCCTGTGTGGGTTTTATACCTATATTAATTCTCTCTCAAAGGTATGGTCTGCCCCTCAGATTGTCATCATCCCAAGCTTGGGAATGGACTGAAAAGTCTTCTGTGTAAGATGGAACGGTGCCCTTCTCAAAATTCAGTCCTCCTTTGCTACTAAATTGTGCCAGGGGCATATTTATATTTCTCTGGAATTGGAGTATGGAGGGACAACAAAGAGCAAGAGGGTTCAACAGAAGCCCGATGAAAAGAACACAAAAAGAAAATTGGCCAAAAGGCAAAAAAAATTTGAATTTATGCTGCTTACCTTCCATTGTAAAATTAACTTGTGAGGCAAATGGAAGAGGCATTCTGTTTGGGGATACTTAAAATTAATATTGAATGGAATGGCATAGAGTTTACTACATTCTAAAGTAGTAGCAACTGAAGCAGGTTTGTGGGAGTGAGTGGTTTTTTGAACTCTTACCTCCATTTAGTCCGGTCAGAACAATGGTCAAGGATAACAAGGATGGGACGTACTATGTTTCCTATACCCCCAAGGAACCTGGGGTCTATACGGTGTGGGTCTGCATCAAAGAGCAGCACGTGCAGGTGAGTACGACCTATGCGTGTGCTTCCCTGAGCTCCTTTCTCCCTGCTCCCCACCGCGTGCTGTCATTGTAGGATCTGGAGACATTTCTCATAGCATCAGCTGTATAGAGAGACTGACTGGGATTCTCTTTTCTTTCTTCTCTTCACTTTAGAAGCTGCCCAGAGTTTGCTGCTCTCATGCTTACTAGAGGATATTGGTGACCATACGAACACTTTGTCCCTATTTCACCTTCTGGCAGTTATGCTTATATTTTATCATTCACTTGGTTTGTTTGAATTCTTAATTTGGGGAAGACGCCTTGATCAAGGGAGCAGTCCATCAGCAGATAAGCACACACATTCAAGAAATACAATCTAGCTCAGGATTTTCCAGCTTCGTCCAGACTGTGACCAGACATGGACTTACTGGAACACAACTGGGAGGGTTATGCCCCTTCCTCTCAACTGACCAGTCGTCTGTCTGCCTAACCACCTGCCCATGTAATTCTCTATTTTGCATATATGCTTATTTGTTACCATGGTTACTATAAACAAGTATAACACAAACAAGTTACCATGTTACCATGGTTATGACATGTTACCATGTTACATTGTTACCATGTTACATGGTTACTACAAAAAAATATAACCAACAAGCAAATATAACAGAAATAAGTATAATACTTTTCTTCACAAACAAGTATAGCACTTTCTGATTTAGAGATTATGAATTTTTAAAAATTGGGTAATACATGTCCAGCAGAATCTCTCTGCTGACACTAGAGTAGTCAGGAATCAACACCGATGAGACAATAAAATACTATACAGCATCATGATATGTTAGGTTTGTGGTCTATGCACTAGGAAACTCATATTCAATAGCCATTTATTGCTAACCTAAATACAGTATGTCAAGAACAGGTTAAGTATTTTTGCATACATTATTTCAATTTTCTTCAAAACCACTGAGGCATAGGGATCATTGTCCAATGAGACCGAGAGACCAAACTTGCTACAATACACAGTAGCTCTGTAGCAAAATTGGAATTTGAACCCATTTCTTTGAACTCCGAATTGTTTTTTTAAATAGACCGTAAACTAAAAGGAGAGGAAATTTGACATCTGAAAGGCTTCTAAGGAGCCAGGCTCTCTGCTCTGTGCTTTCTCCAACTCTATGGTTCTCACATAGAGATAGGCCCATTGCAACGCTTATTAAATACTTTTTGTTTAACATAGGGTAGAAATTAGAAAATGGAAGTTATCCTTGAAGGAGGCAAGTGGGAGTTACTGATTTGAAAATTACTAGACACACACACTTAACCTTTCTCCCTTCCATATATCTTCACAGTCTCAGAATAAGTGGCAGGGTAAACACATACTGTGTCCAGGATAGAGGGGTGGAAGGAAAGAGGATAGCTCGGTATGTGAGGGGAAGAGGTACGTGGCTGAGAGACGAGACAGAGGCCCACAGGATGTCCTGGCCTTGAGTTCACAGCGTTCTGTTGATTCGATATTACCCACATCGTCACCCTTTCCTGGAAATATTCCTTTCGGCTTCTTTCTCTAACCCAAATATGGTCTTCCCAGAAGACACTGCTGCCCTAGTCACCCTCTCAAATTATTAGCTATTTGCTCTTCCTTACTTCTTCTATCACTGGGCCCAGAGATTCCTTAAGAATTGAGATTGAGAGTCCTAGGGACCACAGTCAGTCACACGAAAGCAAAAATTGAGATTACTAATGTGTCAAATGATATACAGGCTTTCAGTTCACCCAAGGCTAGAGTAAGGCAAATCCATTAAGAAAAGCTTGTGCTTATTGTGGCATGGGCTTCTGCTTTTCCTACCATCCTGCCAGAACAAGCCCCAGCTAACACAGATGTCACTGAAAATGGAGCCGACCCTGTATGACCCTAGTCGGTGTCCGGGGAGTTCAGCCACATGGAAGAGATTAGTGCCTGTATTGCATCATTAGCATCTGTGCCGAGAAGCATGGTGGAAGGGCTGTACAGACTCCTGGCTTCTTTCACTGCATTTGTATCTGCTCCCACCCAGCTGAGCAGGGTTCTTGTCCTCTGATCTCTGTTTCTCTCTTGCTGTCCTTGTCCCTCCCTCCTTGTCCTTGAGCCCTGCACCTCAGACTCCTGTAGCACTTAGTGATGCTCAGCACATCCTGTTGACTCACAAAGTGCTGTTCTTTGCTCTTGGTCTGAACACTGAAGGGCTCTCCATTCGCTGTGACGGTCAGGAGAAAGCACCGCCCGCACCCAGGCATATTTCACTGCTGCACCTTCTGCTCCAGTGGAGGCCAGAAAACTGCTCGCTGTGCCTGTGGAGGCACCATGCCGGGTAAGGAGCAAAGGCGGCACCCTCCGGGCCTGTCCGCCAGCAGTGGGAATCAGATCACGGCCCCTCCACTGCCACGCAGCCGCTAGATATGTGGACTCAGGCTCTGTTCCTAGGAAGTACAGTCTGTGTGTAGAGATACCACTGTTCTAGAAGTTTCACTTAAAGCTTCCTTGTTCTGAATGGAAATGGCAGCTGTAAAAGTTCGAGTGCTTTTAGTTTTGATAACACTTCATCAATCCCATGAGCCTTGTGTGTCTCTGTGGGATTCTTAATTTCACTCTGTACCCTTTCCAGCAGCCTGAGACCCATCTTATTCTTTTTAAAATTTTAAATAAATTCCAAATGAGGCATGGCTGGGGGAATAGATGATTAAACCAATTATTTTGTGGGGGAGAGAGGAGGGTCAGCTCAGGCAAAGGATCTAATTATTTTTTAAAAGTTATTCCATTATTTCCTTGCTTTAATGGTGGGCCATAAAATAGGCTATTGTACCCTTCTGTATGAAAACTTCAGGATGTACCTTTTTTTTAATGTTCACCAATCTACTCTTCTATTTTATTTCAATCACTTTACAGTTAAAGTCCAAACCAGTTCTCCTTCAGGTAGCCAATTTTAACACTGCGGTATTCTTAGAGCTTTGGCTAACATGAGTTGATTTTCTGTAATCAGTCTTGAGAGTCCTCCTGACTATACAGGAGTCAGATAGGTTGTTCCTCTTGCTGGGTTCTTTTTAGATATTTTCACTCCCATGAGTCCGAATGTTGCCAGGTTTAATTTCCATGGTAACTGCTAGACTTCACGCTAATAGTTATTTCTCCCTCTTTTCTTTGTACCAAACAGGTGGGTACCTAGGCTGCGGCCATGGACACAAAGGCCACCCAGGTCGCCCCCACTGGTCATGCTGTGGGAAGTTTAATGAGAAGTCTGAGTGCACATGGGTAGGCGGGCAGAGCACACCAAGGAGTCTGCTGAGGACTGTGGCACTCTGAGGGTTTCCTGGGGACGTGCTCAGCCTGTTAAAGCTGTAGCCAGCACCACTTCAGATTACCGGAGGACCCCAGACCTTGATTAATTCTGAAGAAACTGATAAAATTAAAAACAAAGTGCCTTATCTGACTTTACAGTTAAAGTGCTTTTTTGTGAGTTTCTCACTTACTGTACTTGTGGATGACTGAGCACAAAAGACCACCACTACATTTCTCTTAAAGGTAGCTTGGTGACGTTCTTTCTACATAGGAGCTCCTTTCTGTTTGGTACAGGTATGGTGGTCTCTGTGCCTTGGAACTTAGCGATCATAGGAGTTGTTTAACTCCTTATTTTCTGATACATTATGACGGTTTTTATTTCTTCCTGAGCTGCATATTATTTAGATATTTCCTTCAAAGAATAGAAACCTCCTTTGATCCTGTCCACTTTTTGTTAGCACACTTTCGGTGGGTTTACTGGTACATGTTTGTGACCCTTTAAATGTGATCTTGCTGTTTCTGTAGGCATCCCTCTCTTCCCTCTCTGTGCCAAGTTCATCCTCTACTCCAAACCTGGAAGATTACTCTTTGGTCAAGGGCATACGCATAGAAAGTTAATGAAGGAGGTGGTGTTGAAATAGAACCTCCTACATTTTTTTGCAGTTCTACTCATGCCAGATACTCTAGATACCTTCCCCCTCCTCATACCTCTTTGTTTTCTAGAGAGTAGACTTCACTTTTGTCTACATAGCTAGAAACTTGACTGGAAACTGATGCTTACAGCGTGCCTTCTTGCTTGTCAGAGAATTCTGGGGAGAAGATGTACACAGTGCCATTGCTTCAGCGCCGCCAAGGTCTTCACTGTATAATTTTGTGTGTTCTTCTGGGACTCTTGATTTCTTATACAGCAATAAACTCGGCATGTATTAAATATAATTATTGAAATCTGCATTGTAAGAACCCTTAAGTGGGTGACTCCTTTGAGTGGTGAATTGGGTCAGGCGAAGGCAGTGAAGTAATTAGATGATGACTGTCAGGTCCTTGTGGAATACATTTCCTCCTTGAGGCTGATAAATATGGGCTGCGTTGTAGCCATAACTACTAAGATATTACCCATATCGTCACCCTTTCCTGGAAATACTCCCTTCAGCTTCTTTCTCTAACCTAAATATGCTCTTCCCAGAAGACACTGCTGCCCTAGTCACCCTCTCAAATTATTAGCTATTTGCTCTTCCTTACTTCTATCACTGAGACCAGAGATCAGGTAGGTGTCCTTTTAGTTCCTCACTGCTACCTTAAGATCAGTGGTTCTCCACTGGGAGTGCTTTTGCCCCCCAGAGGACATCTGGCAGAGTCTTGCAGACATTTTTGGCTGCAAATACTGGGGCTGTGTAGTGCGCTACTAGCATCTAGTGGGTGGAGGTCAGGGATACTGCTAAATATTTTACAACGCTCAGGACAGCTTCCCGAAACCAAGAATTATCAGTCCCAAATGTCAACAGTGCCACTGTTGAAAAACCCTGTTCTAGACTATTATCCTTAGTTTTCTAAAATAGGATAGTCTCGAAGTTTATGCCTATAAACTATATAACTTGCTGTTCCTCTATGGTTCAGCCATCTGCTAAGCCCCAAATCATGCCCCCCTCATTTCTTGAAGATTATAGCATTGAGCTTGCTGTCACCCCAGTATTACTCCTTATCAATCTTGGGATTAATCAATAGCCACATAGATTTCTTAGTTCTGTGATCAATTCCCCAATGTTCTTTTTTCCCTACCTTAGTCATACATACCCTAGTCTTTGATTCCAACTGCACCCTCTGCAAATTTGACCTATGAGAAGCATTTAACAGTTGATCACTTTCCCCTCCATGAAATAGTTTCTTCATTTGGTTTATGTGGCACCATTCTTCTTACTTCTCCTGTCTCACTGGCTGTTCCTTCTCAGTCTTCTTTGCTAGTTCTGCCCTATCTTCTGGTTCTCTACACATGGGAGAGTGCCAAGGATCAATTCTTGCATTTCTATTAATATCTTTCCCGCACTCCCTAAGTGATCCTCTCATGACTTAAATACCACTGATAACTCCCAAATTTATCTCCAGATCCAATAGCTCAGCGGTTCCCAACGTTTTTGGCACCAGGGACTTTCATGAAAGACAGTTTTTCCACGGACCGGGGAAGTGGCGGGATGGTTTCGGGATGATGAAAGCGCATCACATTTATTGTGCACTTTATTTCTATTATTATTATATTGTAACATATAATGAAATAATTATATGACTCACCATAGGTTGGGGGCCCCTGCAATAGCTCACTTAACATCTCTCCTTGTATGAATAATAGGCACCTCAGATTTAAGATGTCCAAAATAGACTTCCAATTTTCAAACCTCACTTCCCACTTGCCTACCGCCACCAAACTGCTTCTCCTGCAGTCTTGTCCGTCGCTTCAAAAGGAAAGTACAAGTCTGTTCTTACAGTTGGTTGAGCGAATGGCCTTGGAAACATCCTTGACTCTTCTCTTGTACAACATATCCAATCCAGTGTTGAATCCCATCAGCCCTACCTTCATATACAGGCACATCTCATTTTATTGTGCTTTGCATTATTGCGCCTCCCAGATATGCGATTTTTACAAATTGAATGTTTGTGGCAATCTTGTGTCAAGCAACTCTATCTGCTATTTTTCCAACAGCATGTGCGCACTTCATATCTTTGTGTCAGCATTTTCTAGTAATAAAGTACTTTTAAATTAAGGCACCTTTTTTAGATATAATGCTATTGCATACTTGACAGACTACAGTATACTGTAAACGTAACTTTTATATGCACCGGAAAACCAAAAGTATCACGTGACGCACTTTATTGAGATACTCCTTTATTGTGGTGGTCTGGAATTGAACCCACATCATGTCTGAGGTATGCCTGTATATCTGCTGACCACTGTTCTCCACCTCCACTCCTACCATCCTGGTCTAAGATAGCAAGCAAATGAAAACCACAATGAGATATCACCTAATTCCAGTGAGAATGGCTCTTATCAAAAAGTCCCCAAAACAACAGATGCTGATGTAGATGCGGAGAGAAAAGAACACTTATGCACTGTTGGTGGGACTGCAAACTAGTGCAACCTCTATGGAAAGTAGTATGGAGATACCTCAGAGAACTAAAAGTAGACCTACCATTTGATCCAGCAATCCCACTACTGGGTATTTACCCAAAGGAAAAAAAGACATTTTATAAAAAAGACACTTGCACTGAATCTTTATAGCAGCACAATTTACAATTGCAAAGAGGTGGAAACAACCCAAGTGTCCATCAATACATGAGTGGATTAATAAAATGTGGCATAAGTATACCATGGAGTATTACTCAGCCATAAAAAAAATGGTGAACTAATACGTTTTGTAACAACCCGGATGGAACTGGAGACTATCCTCCTAAGTGAAGTATCGCTAGAATGGAAAAACAAACACTACAAGTATTCACTATTAAAACGGAACTAAATGGTCAACACTCATGTGTACATATGGTAGTAAAATTCAATGGAAATCAAGCAGGTGTGGTAGGGGATGGGTAAATTCACACTTGGGGTACAGTGAACACCTAAGGGGTGATGGACACACTTATAACTTTGACTCAAACTGTACAAAAATAATTCATGTAAGCAAAACGTTTATACCCCCCATAATATTCTGAAATTTAGAAAAAAGATTTCTCACCCGGTGTTTTGCAACAGCCTTCTAACTGGTTTCCACCCATACTCCCTTACAGTATATTCTCCACTCAACAGAGAGCCTTTTCAAACCTTGGCTCCTGTCATTCTGCTCAGCACTCTCCGACGGCCTCCCATCTCACTCAGAACAAAGGAGTGTCTTTACATCAGCATGGAAGACCCTGCGGGATCCAGATCCCTGCTCTTCTGATTTCCTGCCTACCGCCTCCATCACTCTATTCCAGCCAAACCGGCCTGCCTGGCACTCCTCAAATTCTCCAAGCATGCGTCTTGTCCTTTATGATCACTGGCCCACGTCTGCTCTTCTCACAGACGCCTTCATGATGCACTCCCTCATTTTCGTCAGGTTTCTGTTCCAGTGTCAAATATCATCCTGTTAGAGAGGTCCCTAACTACCCTGTAGAAAACAGCAACTCCCCACCCCAGGGCTCCATGTCACCCCGACTCGGCTTTATCACCGTCTCATGTGTACGAGCATTCTGATTATTGTCTGTGCTCTCATCCTACTCTGAACACTCTATGAGGGCAGGGACTTGACATTAACATACATTGTCCCCATGAAGGACAGTTCTCTGGCACATAGCAAAGGCTTAATAGTATGTTGAATGAATAAAGATCTAATTGGTACAATTTTTAGTTTGGGTTCCTTGATACTTGTTTTTAAAGCCAGACTTCCTTTCTCTCAAACCCCAATATTTGTTATTTAGCCAAATACCACTTGGGGAAAAATATCTCAGCCTTCTCTCAAACCTATTGGATAAATTATATGCCCCTGACGGACCAGCCTTGAATTTTCCAATTACCTCAGACATCTAGGGAATTGCTTACCATGAAGAAGTCTGTTGTATTATTTCGTCTTTTCCTATATGTCTTTTAATGAGTCAGATTTCAGAACTGAGGATAAAAAACTTACCATTTCTTTTGGTTGGAAAAGTTTCAGTAATTGGACAACTCTATGTGGATGAAGTTATATTGCAGTAGAAAATTTCATTAAGATATCTAGGTTCTGCTAATGCCTTAGCCTTTAAGCAGTATCAATGGCAACAATTCTGTTAAAAATATTTAAAGTTTACATGGGGGCAGGGGGGGGTGTTCCTCAGCCTGCACCACAGTGAAGTCCAAACCCAATTTAATAAACTGCCCTGCCAGCCGAAAGACCTGGCAAAGTCAAAGTGATCTACAGAGCCCAAGACTTCAAGGTGAGGAAAAAAGGAGTTAGAGGATTTAGGAATTTTCCCCAATGTAACAAAGTGCTTCAGAAATCATCTCTGAGTTATGAGCATCGAATCAACAAGATGCAGCATTATGATGTAAGTCATGCCTCTGGTGTTATAGGTAAGAGAAAAGAGACACACATGAGAGTCTCAGTCCTCTGGGATGTTGTAACAGGATAAACATCTCGGCCATCTTGGATAA